ATCAAGTGGCACCACCAACATTAAACCTTCACACACCAGCTCCTGAATGTGAGGGCATGGATTTAGTCCCTCAAAAAGCAAAAGAGCGTTCCATTCGTGTTGCAATGTCAAATTCTTTTGGCTTTGGAGGCACAAATGCATCACTAGCATTTAAGGTTTTTGAGTGAGCAAAAACCAGCCCAAAATCTCGTATATTTTAATTGGCCTAGCCTTTTTCAGCTGGGCCTTTTTTATTCAATTTCTTTGTTGGCTTGCTTTTTCCCATATAGAGCTTGGGCCGAACTCATCGCTCAAAATATTCATGATCAAGCCAGGAGTATCTTTAACTCATATTGCTTCAAGCTTAGAAAAAGAAGGGCTCATCAAAAGCCCCCTTTCCTTCCGACTTCATACTCTTCTTCAAGGGGTCTCTCAGCACCTCAAAGCAGGAGAGTATCAGTTTGCGCCTTACATAACACAAGAAGAAGTTTTAAAGAACTTACACAAAGGAAATGTTGTACAGCATGATATCACCCTTCCAGAAGGCATCCCTTTAGAACAAGCAATGATGGTTTTAAACACACATCCTAACCTTAAAGGAAAGCCCTTAACAGAAAAGGATTTTGAGCTCTCTCCTCCTCTCGCAGAAACATACTTTTTTATAAAAGGGACAACACGGCGAGAAATTCTTTCACGTATGCACTTTGATTTAAAAAAACTTCTAAATCAGCTTTGGGAAAAACGATCCTCAACAACCGTTCTTAAATCACCGCAAGAAGCCTTAATTCTTGCAGCTGTTGTTGAAAAGGAAACAGCCATACCAATAGAAAGGCCTTTAATTGCTGCAGTTTTTCTAAACCGTTTGCGTATTGGAATGCCTTTACAGTCTGACCCAACTGTTTCCTATGGCCTTTTTCGAAAAAATGCTCGCCCTCTTAATCAAGCCCTCAGTCGCAAAGAGCTAAAAATCCCAACGCCCTTCAATACTTATCTCAATAAAGGACTCCCCCCTTCCCCTATCGCATTGGTTGGGAAAGAATCTTTAAAAGCTGTATTTCTTCCTGTAAAAAGCAAACATCTTTACTTTGTTGCAGATGGTAAAGGAGGTCACTTATTTGCCAGCACACTAAAAGAGCATCAAAAAAACCATGCTCGCTGGCGCCACATCCGAAAAAAGCAATAAAAAAACA